CAAAGTGGCCTCCTTGTGAAATAATATTAAATTTGAAAATTAATGTATTACCTCAAGACAAAAATACAGAATTATTAAATAGTTTTTGGCGCCATTTTTTGAAAAGTTTGTATTCACTTTTGTACTGACCGGCAGTAAACTAGTATTTGCCGATAAAGCGTTACAAATTTCGGGTGGAATACCCAAAAAACATTCTCTTCACTTTCACTGTCAGAAAAACTTCTTCTATAAAGGATTTAAACGGTTTTTAGTCAATTTTTAAGGGAGAAATTTCGATTTTAACAGATATTTTTAGAGCCGGTAAAATATATTCCTATTAACAATTTCGTTAATTCTATTTTTATATATATGTCACTCTATACAAATATTTAAATTAATTAGTAATATTTTTTTTTAATTATATTAGTCGAAGAAAAAGTATAGTATGCAACTTGTTTATAAACTTTTATTTATTTTATAATACCCATCTATAATACTCGCTCGTAAGCTTCGCTCGTACCTAATTAAAATGGCGTTTAACAAACTTTATACATAATACACTATTAATTAAAAAATAATTTTTAGTAGTCTATTTAGCTTTCTAGTAATAGTAAGTTAACTATTTATAATATTTCCTTATAAAATTAACCTTTTAAAAATGTTTAAAAATTGTAGTTTAAAAATGCAGATCGATTAAAATTTAGGTCGCTTATGAGTTTTACGATGATGAATAATTTAAATTGTGGCTTTTATAAAGTTTTTATTTTTTAATAAAAGTTTTTTAACACTTTGAAAGTCCAATTTATTTTAAAGTCTATAAAAGTTGTGCTAAAAGAAAGTAGCTAAAAGTTCACAAGACAAATTGATGAAGTCAAGGCTAATTTTAACAAATAATTGATTACAAACTGGACGATGTAATACAAACGAGAGTTTTATAGTTCGAGCGATTCTGCAAGCGATTTAAAAATAATTTATCGACAAAACTCGCCTATTTCTTGATAAGAAAACGTAACTCCCAGATGGCCAGTACGTAACAATCTTTGAAAAGTTGAAACATTTTACGGCAACAATTTATAACTTATGTCAGTGTGTAATCTAATATCGAAGTCTCTTTTTATCCTTCACGCTGTTTTTCTTCTCATTTTGTTTCCTATTTTTTTCTAATTCCAAATCGTGACAGTCATGCTCGCTTGAAATACGATACATTAAAAAAATCACTTTTCAGCAAAAAATACTTTTAAGGATTATGTCAAATATCCTGTTACGCACAAACATTATTGGGCAAAATCAATTATTAACCAAACAGTGCAAATTTACCCTGCAGGCGTGAATAATAAATATTAAAAATAAGATAAAATTAGTATATTATTATACTGGAGATAATGCAGGGTATTATTCACGATTATGTAGTAGATATTGCTCATTACCTCGAGTGTAATACTATACTTTATCAACTCCAATAAGTAGATAATTAAATATATTTTTAAAAATAATTAAAAAAAATCCAACATCTGACAAATGGTTAAGCTCACTTTTTACCGATTTCAAATATTATTATAGTCGCCTTCCCTAATTTAAAACCAGATTGGTTCAAATCACATCCTATTTTAAATGGAAATTTTTATTTATTTATTTTATATTTATTTATATCCAGGCACATGGCCCAATTACAGGAACAAATTTTATACATTGTATTTATTTTATCAAAAATCAATACATAAAAATGTTAAGGTTACATTTTTCCAACTTTATTTTGGTTACGGTAAGTTTGGTATAAAATAATATGTCCTCATACAAAATTTTATTTTTTTTCTCCTTCGTTTTGGAAAATACATTTTCAGACAGATTTTTAAGGGGCTCTAGATTACTTTAAAGTTATTTTTATATAACATTTTTAAAGTATTTGAAGAAGTTCTACCACTTGGTAAATAATAATCTTTCGTTATATGTTTATTTTATATTTTTAAAGCAAATAATCTATAAATCCACTCATAAGTTCATCTCAACTTGCTTGGAAAATTTTATATTTCTAAAAGATAATCCCTAAACTATAAATAAAATTAAAATGTTTTCAAAATAATTGTTTAAACTTAAGTTCTTAACTGTTTCATCCAAAGTAAATCAATATCTGCATTTGAAACAGAAAAAGGCAAAAACATTTTGTATCAGAAATCGTAGCCTCTATTAAATTCCGCTTCATTTGTAATGAAACAAAAAAAATGGAAAAAATTAATATTAATCCTACAAAATACAGACGCGCTAAAAGGACATGTTAAAAAATACGGAAATCTAAAAAATTTTAACTAGCAACTGAGAATTTCCAAATAATAATATAAATTAATATTATTATTTGCAGTAGTTAACTACTGTAAATTTCTAAATAATAACTGAAAATAACTGCCTATCACTGATTTAAACGTGATGTTCTTACATCTCGCCTCTGTTAGCCCACTTGAGTAGTATATAAACTCAGTGTTTTGTTTTGGGTGTGTTCCACTACACCAAGTTGCCCGACACTGATAAGACCCTATGTAGGTCAAAACATCTGTTTGTCGGTTGGTGAAACGCACTCAAAACAAAACCTGGCGAGGTGAAGGTTCAATTCTTTCTTATGAATATTACCAGTGGAGGGTCAAAAAAGTTTCTTGAAGAAAATTGAATATTTATGGGACGTGAACTTCGTCTACCTTTTGACCTGAAATTCACAGGCGAGTTTGTTTACACATCCAGAGTTCACAGACAGACAATAGAAGCATCTTTATCTTTTATTTGGCAATGAAGCCAAACTACTGTGACGTATGGAATGCCTTAAAAATAAGGGACTTTATGAACCTGTAGATACCGGGGCTTGCTTGTAGACGTGACGGTTTAGACTGGAGAATAATTAGAAGTAAGATGGAATTTGTTTTTAGATTTAGTGGCATTGTTTGCTGCCACAACCCTAGAAGAACAATCGAAATGAATACCGTAGACTGCTACTTCTATAGGACGTCACAATGCAAGTTTGCAAACTCCATGGAGCAGAGGACCATGTCACACTGTCTTAAGTTCGGAATGTCTGTAATGACTCATCGCTTGTTTACTGCAAATGATAGCGACCGGTGTAGAATGGAAATATAAATGGGAACCTAAATTAAAATTATTTAACTTGGCCCTACAGAGCTTCGGCATCCAGTAGAGGAGAAGGTGTAAATATGGAATACTATTTTGTTTTTAAAACTGAGAAATCAAACTTAAAATTTTAGTAGAAGTGAACTTAACCAATTAAGAATAAAAATCTTTACCTAAATTAATAAAAAGTCTGTCGCATTTAAAAAAATTTAATTTAGCAAAAAAATAGGGTAGAAATATACATATTTACACCTTATCCTCTATGTATACCACTACACCACAAATGAAAATAAACCATTTAAAAGCCTTGAATTTTCGAATAAATTTTGTTTAGATAAGCGATTAAATCACTATAACTGTTTAGCAGCGACTATTTCCCTCGTTTTAATTTCCACCAATCACAAACGCGCAATTTTGAATTACAAATGGTTTCTAGGTGAAAAAACTGTGTGACAACACCTGTCAGCAGTTTTTTCGAGTTTACCCGCGGCAAAACTTGACAGCAGTTGTCACCAAAAATTGCAATTTATGTTTTAATTGTTAACTGTTACTCATGAAATAGTCTTGTCAAATACCATTCGGGCATCTAATTTTTCCTGTGAAAAAAATCGAAAAAACACAATGCTAAGTAATATTTTTTAACAAGATGCATTAGTGCAGGTGCAAAAATCCTCGTCTTCGACTCGTATTTTTGTTGCCACCATCACTTATGCTTCTTGTTAAAATATTACTTAACAACCTATTTTTTCGATTTTTTTCGGAACAATTAGATGCTAGCCTCCATGGATCCATATTGGATTTATGTTAACGATTTTATGGTGTTATTTACAAGTTTTAACATATATTTTTTTAAGAAACAATAAAAAATAAGTTATCTAGTTTACGAAACATCAATTATTAATTATTACTTACCTTTAAATTAAAGGAATTTTTGTTTAAAAAATTGTTCATATATTTTGACATTTACCTCAGATTTTATTAATTGTCAAATAGTTTATAATCTGTGAATAGTTTCCTTTAACTCGAGAAATAATCTAGACGTGCATCACCTATAAAATTAATCTGTCAAACTATGTTCAGTAAGTTTTTTATTTAATTTTTCTTTTTTGAAAATAGTTTCATGCTATGCGGTCTCGTGATTTTATGTAATTATTTTGCATTCAACATTTTCCAAGAAAACCCAAACAAAAAACTACTGAGCCCAGTTTAACCGATTAAATTCATAGTTCTTGTACCTAATATAATATAAGTTTTATGCGTAAATTGATTATACTAATTTTATAATATTATGATAAAATTATTATAATTAATTTACGCATAAAACTGTTCACAGCACATCTTTCCAACATTTTCAATGATCTGATTACGCTTCCACTCTTTTATTGTCTAAGGTTCTTGAAATATGGTTTTTATTTTCCATTATACCAAAAAAATGTATTTAATATAATTTTGCATTTTGATCTTATCTGGATAACATTTCAAATACCCACTTTAATAATTTAAATTAAATCGAAAAAATGCATGAACAAATTCAATTAGATAATACAAAAAATACAAGATGTAACGTGAAACTCTAAATTAAGTAAAAACTTCCACTTTAATTGGTGAAACTTTTTTTAGCCCTTAAATAATAAATGGAAGCTCGAGCAGTTTTTTATGTAGGGTTAATTTGATCACATTAATGTTTCAGCGATGTCCCTCACGACTTGTTTGGATAAAAAATATTTAACATTATTATTATTATTGTAACGTAATTTAACTATATGCTTAATGTTTCTGCAAAATTTGGCCAAAAAGAAAAGGTTGTATGTAAAAGTGGTTTTCATAAAATCTTATTTACTTTTTTTTCAAATTTTTTATTTCTTTAAAACATTTTGTTTATTACTTAATAATTATTCTTCTTGTTTCAGTTCATAAGTCAAGTACTCTTAGTATTACTAACATGACTGCACCTGTAATCCAAGATCCACGAAAAAATTTACACATTTTCTGCAAATTTGACATGGGAGGAGAAGATTTATATGCAGTTAAATGGTATAAGGATGATCACGAATTTTACAGGTAAAAACTATTTGTTATAATAAAACTTTTATGTCAAGTTTTGTAAATGTTACTTTAAGCTAAAACAAACAATTATTTAAACACCAAAAACAAAATTCATTCTAGCGAGAAACTTGGAGATAAACTAGTTTTAAGTTCCACATTTAGAATATTTTATTTTCGTAGAAATAAAATAAATAAAACAATTTCTTATAAATTGTGTTTTATTTAAGTAATCTTTGGTTAAAATTTAGTTGTGATATGTTAATTTTAGTTGAACTAATTTGAAAGTCTTATTTTTGTATAAAATAAGAATATAAGTTTAACGTAAAATACATTTGTGCTACAGTGAATTTATAACCATAATTTTGATACCTAATATCGATATAGGCTTACAGAAATCGATCTCCCAAGAGGGTTCGCTAGCTTAGCTCAATTGGGCTTGAAACTTGGGCGAATAACATACAAAATATTATCTTCGAGGCACAATTCTATTTGTTAAACGATTCATAAAATGTAAAATTGTTCTAATAATAATAATAAAAAGTAAAAAGTGTGGTCAGTTAGGTCGGACAGAATTATTTTTTTATTTATCCTAAGTAGTAAATAATGCATTTTTTCCACTCCCACCTTTAAAACGCCCATTGTCATGTTTTCAAAATTTTTTTAAATAGTTTCTTGATGCCAAAATTTAAAAAGATTATGTGAACGTTTTTACTGACCTTTTGATTTTGCCGTAGTAGTGCATTAAACTAGATTTAACTGATAAAACATTAAAAATTTTGCTTGCAGTGCCCATAAAACATTTTATTTACTTTTACTGTTAAAAACTGCTTCTACGAGGTGTGTTCAGAAAATAACGGGAATTGTTAAATTTCGCGGGTTCGGAGGGTCCGGTGGTCATAAAATTTTCTTTATTATGTTGGTATACATGCCCCCGAAGTATGATAAAAACTTTAGCTGTTTTCATCGTTTACTTTGTCTGTGGCAGCCGCTAAGGTTAGACGTGTTTTATGAGCTCGGCGATTTTTGTCCGTTAAAAGAAATGGATCAAAGAATTTGTATCCAGTTTTGCTTAAAAAATGAAATAAATTCTGTGAAATGTTAACAAAGCCCTATAGTGAGTCTGCTATAAGTAAAACAAGAGTTTACAAGTGGTATAAGAGTTTCCAAGATGGCCGTGAAGACATTGAAGATGACGAACGCCCCGAACGCACAAGCACATTAACAACCGATAAAAACATGAAAAAAGTGGAATAAATGGTTAAAAACCATCAGAGAAGTCGCTGATGATGTTGGTATATCGATTGGCTCATCCCATGAAAGTTTATCGAATGTTTTGGGTATGAAACGCCTGGCAGCAAAATTTGTTCTAAAACTGTTAAATTTTGAACAAAATTTTTGGCCAAAAACAATACTGTAATGATGCCCCAGCCTCCATATTCGCCAGACATGCCTCTGTCTTACTTTTTCCTATTCCCAAAAATAAAGAGAACCTTAAAGGGCCGTCGTTTTGCAAGCATAGATGACATTAAAAGCGCATCGCTGAAAGAACTAAAGGCTATTCCAAAGATCGAGTTTTAGAAGTGTTTCGAGTATTGGAAGAAGAGCTGGCACATGTGCATAATATCCAATGGGGACTATTTTGAAGGCGACAACATTAATGTAGACGAATAAATAAATATTTTTTTCAAAAAACGAAAATTCGCGAAATTTTCTGAACACTCCTTGTATGTTTTTTTATGATTGAATTATTTTGCGTTTGCATTAGCGAAGTAATTTAATCCGAGCTTTAAGACGTGCACTTTTCTTTTAATGTTAGCAAATAGAAGCAAATAGAAAAAGCGTATGTCTATTATGAAGTCGCTAGAAGGCTTTTTATTTCGCACATGCTCGCCAGCGTCCATTCAAACAAACTTTGCAAAGGTTCTTGAAATGCCACCATACACTTATACTAACCCATTTGCGAAAACTACGGCACTTTTTACTTTAACACAGATTTATGCTGCTTTCTTTTTCCTGTTTCTTCTATTTTATGATACGTTAAAAAATAATTGCCACGTGAAAGGTATTTATATTTTCAAGCTGGGATTGAAGAGCCTTTACAAAAATTGTACGCTGTAATAAATTAAAGCATTTAATTAAGGTTTTGTTATAATAACAATATTTTTACACAAATAAGCGAATAAGAAATACACTTTACGGTAAACAAAATAAAATTATTCTAAAATTCTGAAACCATTTTATATAGATTAATAAAGTTTTTGGAAATAAAAACACTCAAAATTTGCCAATTCGTTGTTTAAATAACAAAACTACATTGTATCAACAACATTGTAATTTAAAGTAGCTTTTACGACAAAAAATATGCAATTATTACAAAATAAACTGAATGTATTTGTTAAATATTTTTAATTAAAAAAGTTTTAAAGTACAAACATTTTTTTTTAAATTTACTATATTGTAACGTTTTTAACTGTTCGTAGTTTGAATAAAAACACGCACTGGTTTATTAACGAACTAAACGATTTATTTTATAACTTATAGGTCAATTCTGTGCACATCTGTAAGCATCTATAAGCAAATCTGTAACTTTCTATAAGCTTATAGACAATTTGCAATTCTGCGCTTCCTGTAGCTTACAGAAAATCTTATAGAATCGTAAATATTTACGATCGGGTGTTTCCCAATCGTTGCTAGTTACAGTTTGATTTTGTTAGGTTATGTCAAGCTATTTTTAAGATTAAAAACATGAATATTTTTAATAATGTTAATGTGGATATGATAATGGTAATATTTATCAATTGGGACAAGCAGCCTCATTAGAAATAATTTTAATTTTGACTTTATAAAACAATTATACTAATACAAAAACTTTATAGGTATGAAAATAAAATAAAATAATATTGTTAAAAATAATAAACCACAGCCTACTCAGTAAAAAAGAAATAAACAACAAAATAAATAAATATTCTAATTAGTCAAAAACTAATAGGTCATAGGTATATCAAAATTTGGATTTAAAAAATTCATTTTTTTCATTTCAAATCCTAATTGTTCTTCTTTCAGCTTTATATAATTTTCTAAATAGTTTTTACGCTCAAAATGTTTTTTTTTATTTTCTGCTCCTTGTTCAAAATTATTAAGTTCCTGCCATGTTTGGCTCAATGCACAATCTCCATCCATTGCATCCTTACATCATTTTATTCCTCAACCAGTTTAAATTTCTTACTTTTTGTATTATATTATATGCTGGTACATAAATGATAAACCGATGAACTGTAAATAAACCAAAGAATACATATAAAAATATAGGTTATGTTTGATCGTAAGTAAATAGGCGTAAAGTTGCAGTAGTTCGTTTATACTACTTTAAATAAGACATTTACAGATAACATCCCAGACTTGCCACTTTTACGATTCTATAAGCATTATAGTTACAGATCATCGTAAGCTATATATTTACGAATTTACAGAAATTTTACGAGAGAACCCAGAATTGACCTATTAATTACACTTAAAACACTAAGAAACTATAAAACTGACTAAACACTTAACTACTAATTATTTATATATTACTACTGTACAAGAATCTATTTATTTGCACGTATATTTATTTATTTCGTCGCGAGTACCAAAGCTTGACTGCCTGGTCCATGCTGCGCTGTTTCTTATATATTCAGTGCCTACGTGCATTCCCGAATATTCCATTCCATATTTCTATTTTATTTGTACGAAATTCGTGAATAATTTTTTATTTCAAGCCAACATTTATATAAAACTTAAAATACCTCATTATTTTTATACGAAATTTTGTTTTTTTATTCTTTAAGATAAATTTGTCTCTTGCAGATATTCTCCTTCGGGGCCGAGTAAATACGTCCAGTATCCAGTTCCCGGTGTCAAAGTAGAAGTAAGAAGCTCAAAGTGCGTAAAAAACTCGTGCGTTCTGGTTCTGACAGAGCTCCGGAGGCCGGAAAGTTCCGGAGCTTATAGATGCGAGGTGTCGAGCGAAGCTCCCGCCTTCAGATTGGCATCGCAAACCTACAACATCACGGTAGCAGGTGCGTTTTACATTTAAGGTTAAAGGTTAATCAATTTAAGTGGATGACTGTACTATTTTATATCCCATATGATGTTTTTTGTTTGATATACACTCTTAAGCCTCTTGAAGTTTATTGAATTTTATATTTATTGGTCTTATTTTTTTTAAATTAACAAATATTTACTTATTTGTATAGATTAAATTTAAAACGAAACGACGTACACGTCATCAATCAGCACTGTTGTCAATGGGATGCTAAAATCATTGCATCAAGTGAAAGTGGTAGTGATAGATGGCGTTTACATGAATAATACCACAGGGTCCCTAGATTTGGGACCTTAGAATACCAAAATGTCCAAAGTCATTTTTAGCTTTTAATGCTTTAAAATATTCAATTAGACTTCGTTAAATACACTTAGTGTTGGTAATTATGACCTCATCGATGACGTGTACGTCGTTTCCCTTTAAATTTACTATATTATTGTTTCTTATTATTTAAAAAAATGTAATTATTCTTAATGTAATTTTAAATAGGCATATAACAATTTTTATTTTCTTTTTCTTTTCAAAGTTACATTGTTACATGCTAATTGTTAATTTTTATATACAGGGTGGCCTAACTAAAATGAAATAGGAGTTTTAATAGGGATGATAGGACAAGTGATACCTCATTAAAGGTCTTGCTCCACTAAGTATTTAAAAAAAAACTAAAGTTAGCTTCAAAGTGATAACTGTCAGATGTCAGATAAAACATGAAAAAAATTGGCTTTAAATTCTTTGTGGTTGTTGAATAAAATATTGTGTATGACTATTGGTCAGAAGAGATTCCACTCGTTGTTACCTCACTTACTACGCTCGTGCGGCAAACTCCACGATCTAGGAATCTCATCTCTCCCCAATAGTCGCACAATATACTATTAATTTCTTAAAGGTTAATAAATTTGATGAATAAATTTTTACTTTCAAAATGCGCACCGAGTAAATGGAACAAAGCTTCCAAGCGCTAATTTTAGAGGAGAAAGGAAACAACAGGTGACCGCAGCGCAAACAAAGAATGTTGTGCGCGTTGCCAAATATTCAAGTAAAATTATTTCTAATTTTATTTAATTAAATTAATTAATCCATAACTATCATAATCTAAAAATTAATTTTTCGAAGCGCGTCATAAATATATTGATAATAAAAAAATTATAAAGCAAAGAGGTTTTGGGAAAATATACCAACAATTTAATCTTTCTTAATTTGGAATTAAATTTATATTTTGTTTGTTTTCATAAAAGTTAAATATTTATTTTTACTTTTAAAAAGAAAAGTTTTAAAAGTTTCGCCAATTTAATAAAAAGAAAATGTTAATTTTATTTAATTTAATATAAATTTATTTATATATATTTATATAAATAAATAATACGAAAATTATAAAATATAAGTCTCAATTTATGTCAAATCACCGATCTTAAAATTTGGTTGACCCTTATTAGAGTTTCGTTCAAATCTTAACAAAACTCGTATAGGCTTAGTTTTGTCTTCAAAGTAGAGGTTTTGATTTAAAACAAAAACAGTAAACAATAACACACACCCTTGTAAGTTAGAGAAGTATCGCTAGTAGCGCCACCACTTGGCTGTTATCATCGTAACAAAAGTAGAACTTTTGTTGTGTTGTTGGGTGTATTTCGAGAGGAAATCCTGGGAGTTTTTACCGGTTTTCCAATAAACAGTGTTAATCTGAATGAAGAAATAAATTGCATACAGTTTCTGTAAATCTAAATTGTACCTATTAGATACAATAAATACACATTTTAGTAGTGATTAACGTGAAAAGTGTAAAAATTTCAATTCAGTAAAAATCGTCAAACAAATAAGTCGTCTAAATTTAAACAGCATTTAGCATTATTAAAAGCGTTGATTAAAAATTCTTTAAAGTCTTCACTCAACGGTAAAATACCATTATATTATGTATTATATATAATATTATGTTGCCATGAATTCAAAGGTATATTTTATTGTAAAATGCAGTTTTTGGAGAGAACTCAAATATAAAAATGGTTGATTTTAAGGTTATGTTTGTGCAAATGTTATTTTTTATTAATTTCTTAAAAATGTCCAAAGTTAAATATAAATTATATTAGGTAAAGTTATCATTAGTTAATTCTGCACCAACAAATTTACTTACCGAATTGGATCCTTTGGCAAAACATGAAAATGCAACGATTTAGTTCTTGAATTTAATTTACAATTAAAAACACAATAATTCACCATGATCCCTTTGATAAAATACACACACTAACGTAACTATATAAGTATTTAAGCGTTGAGTTTCTTAATAATATCGAAATCGAGTACTACAAATTTTTTTTTAATTTTTTACTTGCAACGTAAAACACAAATATCATGCGATTTAGCTGTGCAATTGAACAAAATTTGTTGAGTAGAAGACTTCTGTCTTCCTCTCTTTTGTAAAAAAAACTACCAATTTATTTAAAAATGATGTATAATCGGTGCTTTAAATTTATTGTTGACAATTCTTAAATTCACGCAATGCATTCGAAGTCCACCAGATGGCGCGTTGCGAAAATCCGATACTTCTTTAGCGTGTATATTAAAGGATATTACTTTTTGATGTCAAATTAATAGGTGCCAAGAGGACAGTTACAACTTAAAACTTTCAAATAGGAAGGGGGTCTTGTGATACCTCATTTAAAAGGTATTTAGATTTTATATTTAACGCATATCTAAAATCTAAAATTTCTTCAATTAATTATTAAATCAAATTTGTTGCAGAACAATACATTTCCAATAATTCATCAAATTCGATGTTCGAAATGCTCCCCTTGGATATTTTGACACAAAAATAGTCTGTTTATAATTTCAGTTCTCACATTTGCAAACGTTTCTTGTGTAGTATTCGTACATTTACGTCTAATCTGTTATTTTAGATCTTCAATTTATTTCACCTATTTTGATAAATTTTTATCTTGTTGGAATATTAACTTCATGTCAAATTTGTCAGGATTAGCTTAAACTATATCTTTAGTTAATGGATAAATTTGTGTTTGAAGCATGTTTAAGTACAAGATGCCTGTTAAATTTCCAAAAAGATGGGTCCTACAATATGGTTTCCCAGTTGTCCCGCCCATACAATGACTTTTAGTGGGTACTGGGTATGACCTTTACGAAAAATATGTGGATTAACATTTGACCAGTAACGTACATTTTGCTGATTTACAGTATCATTGAGATAAAAAGTGCATTCATCAATTTATTGCAAGTACAGGGGATTTTGTATTATGCACTCACACATAAATTTACAAAATTTTACTTTCCGATCCGTGTCATCTGCAATAAATTGATGTACATAATATTTATGTAATATTTATAGGGATGAAATTTGTAATGTTTTAAATAATATTATGAGGCTCTAATAAATAATGATTTGGCGAATATATTGAAAGCTTCGACTAGTCATTGTCTGACTCTTAATGCAGAAAAGTCAAAAGTACTTATTTGTGGCAAAAAAAATGGATTGATTCGGATATAAAAATTCTTTTGAAATCACTTACTGTCAGTAATTATACAAAAAACCTTGGTGTGGTTTTTGATTCCACCCTTAGGTTTAGTCAGCATATTTCTGGCATGATTAGTCGAGCTTTTCAAAATTTAAAACTAATTTATGTTTAAATAAAAAGCTGAGAAAAATACTTTGTGACTCATTGGTGCTTTTAGTTTTTAGCTATGCTGACATTGTGTATGGTCCCTGTTATTATATACTAAATTCGATTCTCGGAGAATTCAAAAAATACAAAATTGTTGAGTGCGATTGGTTTGCAGTTTGCGAAGTAATCACGATATAAAGAATAAATTAAGGAAAATATCCTGGACGCACTCTAAATGCTTTACTTTTATATCATAAAATTATAGTTTTTAAATCGCCATCTTATTTGTACAACAAGATTTTGAACGAATGTTCATAGTCTTAATATACGACATAAAAATACGATAACACCTCCTCAGTATTCTACTGCTATGTTTAAAATATCGTTTTTCTACAATATTTTTAAGTTAGGTATATAACATGGTTCCCGCAAATAATAAAACCAAGTCAATTACTCTATTTAGGGCAAAAATTCGTTTACTCATTCTTATCGATTATTTTAAATTGTTATATTTAAGTACGAAATTTATAAGATCCTTATATTTTTCTTATGTGTATGTATGGGTATGTATATTAGGGTGTGCCAAAAAAACTCTATTCTAAAAGTTAAAGGCGTATAAAGTCATCATTTTTGTATTATTAACTTTAAATTTAAAGCTCTGTAAAAAATCAAATAATGAAAATAGAAATTCGGCTTAATAAGATTTTTTCGTCCAAATTTAATGCTTTGTAAGATTTGGTTATGGATTTTATGAAAAAAAAATTTCTTCCTAGGTTGCAAGAATAAATAAGGTAAAAAAGTCAGTTTACTGTGTGGCAAAACTTCAGATTCGATGGAGGACCTCTTAAAATTGAAATTATGAGCTCCGCTTTTAACAGACATACTCTACGATATTTTGGGTGGAGAGCAAGAAAAAAAAAATATCGAGTTTTTTTGGCACACCCTAATGTATATGCATATATTTATATGTATATATATAAATATTATGTTTTATTTGTAATACTATAGGGTTAAGTGGAAGAGCATGCTCTTCCACTTAACCCTATAGTTCACTGCAGTGAACTACCTAGTGTGGGGTACTGAACTTTGCCTTTTGTTTGTAATATGTTTTTTACAATCAATAAAGACATTATTATTATTATTTTAATTTTTATTATTATTATTATTATTTAACAGTTGATTTTGCTATTTTACAATCCTCTGCAACTGCCAACGTCGATTGTTGTGGATTATTGAACCGAGTATTTCTATTTGTTTGTCTTCTGAGATTGATTTTCTACCCTATCCTTTCTGCCTACTCACACTTTTAGTTGTTTGAAATTTAGTCACTCTCCCGTAGATATTTTCTGCAAACAGGGTTGTCTGGCTC